GCTTTTCCTACCTAGATCACGCAAAGCGGGAGGTGTTTCTCTGCTTACACCGGACAAAATATTTTCAACAACACGAAATCTGTGTCGCAAGCGGAATGAAATTGTCCACGTTGACATTTTTCACGCTGAAATTCTAGCAAAACTGGAATCGATTAGACTACCGTTACGCAAGGCAGTCGGAATCGAGCGATTTCGAGGCGATTACGCAACGCTATCAATCCCTCGAGTTCTATTTTACGAGTTCACGCCCCGTGTGAACACGTTACACATAGACGTCTAGAGATACATATGTACATCGTTTATAGTGACCACAGGCAGCGATACCCGCTTAGAAAGTTTAGGTCGAGCACTTTTCCTGCCGCTAGCTGGAAAGCTGAGGAACGAGCATACGTTCGTTTAGGAATGCGAAAGAATTCCGTCGCATTGTACAGTTTCTCTCGTGTCAATAAATGTTTACGACGACCGAAAGTTCTCGTGTCGTAACGTTCTTAAGAGAAGTATATCGGGTGTATCGCGCGACCATAAACATGGATACTTTTCTCTTTTTTTTTCCTGCGCGAACATTCTCAGCGGCTGTAACTATAGAGAAGAATCAAGGGGCGACGGAGAGAGCTTTTGCCGCACGAATGTATCGTTGCAACGTGCGGCTCGAACAGCTCCTTTGTTTCGATTAGCTGTTAAGCGAGGATCGTTGCTTCCGCTTCGAAACCTTCGATTATCGTTGCTGGCGAACCGTGTCAACGGAACGAGACTGTTGCTGAGATCCTCGATCGATCGATGGGGGCACCTGTTGTGCAAAAGTTCGCATGAACCTCGACGTTTTCGCAACATTTCTTCGTTTTTTTTTTCCCGATGTTTCTGTTTTTTTAGGGCGTTGTTAGGAAAGATTTCGAAAAAGGACGATAACGGGCGTAGCTCTCACTCTACTTTCGAAAGACTGGCGTTAATTATGAATTGGTGTTTTCCAACGAACGCGAAAAGAACGCCTCCGGGAAAATGATAGGGTCCGTGATCATCGTTTCAGTATGCATGCCTCTGCGTGCAATTTTTTTTTTACACGTCACGCGCCACTCGGTTTTCTTTTAAATCCGCGCTCTACTTCGCACTTAATTAACTTATCACTTCATTGCAGTTACGAATGCGATGCTCCCGATGGTAATCGTGAATTTTCTATAAGCACGTCGTTATCAGGACACTTAGTGTCTCTGAAACTATCTTCAATATCATTTCTTCGTTCCTCTAGACCAGCAGTGTATACACGCAATAGCACTTAAACGCCGTAGATAATACTTCTCGAGCTCTGTGATACGTTCATCATACCAGTAAGCAGAAATAAAATTTTTACGTGACAAATAACGGTATGACAAATATACCAAAAATTGCACACACTACTGTCTCGATAGACACGTTTTTTCTTCTTCATTTTTCCAAGTGTAAATATCGTGGATCGATGGACAACGAGACAAAAGCAGAGATGTAGAAAGGCGATAGATGAACTTACCTGGATTCGACCGTAAGACCCGCAGAGGTCGAGGTGAAACAGTCCAGGTAGTTTGGTATTGGTCGGTGGCCCGTTGGCAGGTAAATTCGGCGCACACGAAAACGGCACAAAGCGAGAAAACGGCGGTTTTACGAGCAGTCGAAAGTACCGGCGAGCGGCAGGCCGCGACGCGTGTTTCTACCGCACAACTGGCTTTCGAGAATTCCCGCTTGGAATGCCCACGAGGACGAACGGTATAAGATGCTTCGACGTTGGCTGCCTCGACAAATGGAAAAGGCACGGTCGAAGCATCTTCGCCGCGCCTACAATTACGTTGCCCCGTGTCTATCGCTCCTCGACGCTCCTCGAGACTCCACCGAACCCAACAGCCAGCAGACGACGATGGCGCGTCGCTTTTCTATCTTACAAGAGACCTCTGTTTAGCGTTCATTTCGAAAGAATTCGGCCATTTAACGTGCCACGAATTCCTTCGCGAATATACAGCGAGCTTCTCTCCTCCCGAAAATGAGCTTATAAGGGATCGAATTACGTAGTTTCGGTATGTTAGTTTGATAATGCAATTTCGCTAGTTTCGAGGGAAGAATGGAAAAGGTATATACGACAAACTCCGAGGAAAATTCTTTAGCTTTCCCGGGCTGGGGCGGCGTAAAATATCGGCGCGAGGACATTCGTTCTGGTTACCGACCGGTGAAATAGGAACATTCGTAATAAAAGTTCTGAATTCACCGTGAAAGAAGGCGAGGTTTTACCGTTTTCCAGTGGGGTGAGGAAAAAAATTAATTTTAATTCGCTTAAGGCTACGCTGTTCGCGACTCTCTTCTTTTCTCGCTTTTTATCGCCGCGGAGTTCCCATTCGCATGAAGATAGAGTGGATCGTTTCTTTTTTTTTCTCCCCCCCTCCACTAGCGCCTTGTTCTCTCTTCTTCTACTCCACCCGCGGCGGATAAAACAAAAATATCGCGACAGAATTTCTGAGAACTCATTCGCGTAATCAATTTCGCCAGGAAGAAAAGGGGTGAGTTGGCTGGTCGCGTAATGAGAAAGGCGGAGAGGCATTTGAAATTACGTAAATCGGAAAACCTTAATGCCTGGCTACGGTGTAGACCATTTTGATCTGTTTTACCATGTATCGATTAACTTTTCTTCTCTCTTTTAACGGGACGCGTCGTTTTGACCACTTATGCTTATTGTAAATTTTCTATAAATATATTATTCATATTATCATTCATTTATAAGTTAATAGTATATAATATGTTGTTTTTAAATAAAATAAGTTGCTTTTTAAAGAAAATATATGCGGTTTCGTTCACGCGTCAATTTGAGAGAATTTGTAGAGAGAGGTTAGGTTAGGTTAGATAGGTATATAAGGAATGTCCGTAAACCTAGTCTTAATTGTTTCTTCAATTACACGTATTTTACGCGTAGAACGCTGTAACGAGGTTGCACACGTTTTCCAGGATGGATCGAGGGAGAAAATTTATTTTGCAAAATCGTAAAAGTTCCGTAACAGTGTACAAGCCGCAAAATGTATTATTTGAAGAATCACTAACGACTGGGAGTTGCGAAACGTGTTTTTCATTTCATTCGGTTAATCTATCGTCATATCTTCCGTCAAGCCCTCGACAAAATTCTGGTCCGCAATGACCTACATACTATTTGATCGATGAATTTTCCTTTGACCTCGTTCTATTTGCAAATTACGAGACACTCGTAAATCGTAATACGGTAAATGATAAAGCGAACACGTAAGACAGGATAATGGAGTATTGGAATTATCAAAATGTAACGATTGTGTCGATGAGCATCGCGAAAATTACGGGTATTATTTCCATGTAACGATAAACGGTTTTAATATTGGTAAAATATCTGATAAGTTGAAAGGAAGCACTTTCGATGCCAAATTGCATGTAATCGAACTGTATGTAGATGGACGTTTAATAACGATTATTTTCGGGGAATAATACACTTCTTTCATTACGTTATATTTTATAGATCTCAATTATGAGCCTTAAACGAAGCAAGTAGCTGAAGCATCGGATAAATTTCAGTCACGACTAACCCCTTTCAGTACTGTGTCATTGTGTGACAATGCTGTACGCAGGCAGAAAATATTCATTTTGAACGAGGACCGCATATTAATTTCACGAATAAGTCCACGCGTGGAATTCATACCGATTACATTCATTGTCTCGTAAAATGAAATTAACCCCCATGGACGAAAAGTTACGTTAATTAAGATATATTGCTCGAATAATACGTGTTACGTCGATTTAAACGTATAACAATAACACTATGTTCATTTACACGGCGAGAGAACGTAATTGCGGCGATATTAAAAGTGATTGCACGGATAGAATTTTTACGCGACAATTACAGGTAATATACATTTCCGCTGATCGTCTCCAATCATTTTAACGTGTTGGAACCTCGTTGCGATGATCGAATTTCTGGAAAGCAACGCGAATAGAGATTTTCATTTTTCCAGTGTATTATGGCAGCCCTGATGTTACTAGGTTAGGTATAGTGCGCGCCATGGTGGGATGGTGTCCATGCTACGCATGTGCCTCTCGTTCACTTCCTTTTGGAACTCGAAGGTGGGAGGTTCTTCTATGGTATAGTACTGTATTTCGATAATCGTTACCTCATACACGTGTAAATGTTTCGTATAATTTCGGTAAAATATACTGGTCCGATCGAAAAGATTCGTAAAACGTACGCGTCACGATCTCGTTATTCGCGAGATTCTTTCCATAACGAAGTTCGGGAAAATGGCTGAATCGATGGAAGGTAGCAGTGAGTATGTAGGCCACGTGGCGAAGCAACTCACGCAAGAAGAAATCGAAAAGATACAAGCACAGGACTCGCGATTAGTCTCGGAATTTCGAGCCCATAACGGAGTTCGGGAAAATGGCTGAATCGATGGAAGGTAGCAGTGAGTATGTAGGCCACGTGGCGAAGCATCTCACGCAAGAAGAAATCGAAAAGATACAAGCACAGGACTCGCGATTAGTCTCGGAATTTCGAGCCAATCAATTGGAAAAAGATGCGAAAAAGCACTGGGATTTATTTTACAAAAGAAACGATACTAGATTCTTTAAAGACCGTCATTGGACTATCAGGGAGTTCAATGAGTTGCTAGGCTTGGGTACGAGAGAGAATGAAAATGTTCTGCTGGAAGTTGGATGTGGCGTTGGAAATTTTCTGTATCCGTTAATCGAGGATGGGTCGAAATTTCGAAAAATATTCGCCTGTGATTTCTCTCCTAGAGCCGTGGAATTAACGAAGGTATAAAATATATTCTTTTCTCTAATCGATGCATTTATATTCGCATTCCTTCATTATTATTACAATTGTTCGCAGAATCATACGCTGTATGATTCAGAAAAAATGGAGATTTTTCAAACGGATATTACCGTGGAAAACTGTTTCCGCCACGTGGACTGCCCGGTAAACGTAGCAACTTTAATATTCGTTTTATCGGCCATTCATCCAGAAAAGTTTAGAAAGTGAGCAGTCTGTTTGCTATTCCACGTGCCGATAATCGTTGACGATTTATTAAAAAATTTATTACGTTTCAGAGTTGCGCAGAATTTGTACGACGTTCTTAATAATGGCGGAGTTGTGCTGTTCAGAGATTATGGCTTGTATGATATGGCTCAGTTAAGATTTAAACCTGGGCATAAAATCGGTGAGAATTTTTACATGAGACAAGATGGAACTAGGTACATTTTTTTTTACTCTTCTGATTTCATTCTTATCGAAACGTTGAATTCACGATCGTTTTTATTACAGATCGTATTACTTTTCTCTGGAAGAAGTATCAAATCTATTCGAGTCAATTGGATTTAAAGTTTTAACATGTAATTATGTGCACAGACGAACTGTGAATTTGAAAGAAAAAATCGACGTGCCCAGAATTTTTGTTCAAGGAAAGTTCGAAAAGTCTTGATAAATTGGTATGTCTTTGTTCAATATATTAAAAAATATTTATTATTTTCTAACATATATCGAATGATGAGTACATAGTTCAACTGAATCGCATTGATGATACACGAGAAATTAGTCTTTCGCCCCTATCTGATTATTTTTTTTATATAAAAATAATTTTATTCTGCCCGAATGAACGTTCGTATAGTTACTATGTGTTTTACATTTCAGAACATTAAACAATATTCGATAAATGCAGTTGAACATTATTACACACGTGAGCGTATATTTCGTATATTTTCGTCGGAAGAAATATGATCAGTCATGAATTAATCAGGCATGAAAGCATATGCGTGTCGAACATTGGAACGAACGAATTCACGGAAATTCCAGGAGGTAAGGACAGAATTTCCTGCTACCCAAGTATGTAATTTAACTACGTCTCAAGTTTCATCGAGTTGTCGGAATATCAATCGATGCTGACGTTTGTTAGTTGAACTTACGATCGCTTTATATTCTTTGTATTTCTGGAATGCAGTACATTAGTAAAGCTTCTTTCACACTAGTAGTCTCTAAAATATATCGATTCAAGTTAAATACATATGATGAATACATAGTTCAACTGACTAATCTTGAAGACACAAGGGTACTTGTCTTTCGCCCCTATCTGATAATTTTACAACCTAATGTAAAACGTGTAACATAACGCATGTAGATTTTTCTGTAGCTCATTGTTTTGTTACAGAATGCAGGTATCTGGATGCGCGATTAAATCGAAATGTTGCAGAACCTTAACATAACCGTGATGGGTAAGCATTTCTGAATTAGAAAACGAATCAATTTTATGAGTATTTTTATAATGAATTCATAGTTACACCGAATGACCGAAATTATACGTATCTCTTTTTTCTTGCTTTTCCAGAATTTTATTGCTTGTTGCAAATGCCTCGGAAATATGTAGGGACTCTTAACTTTATATATTAGTGAGTATATATTTTCCTTTATGTAAATATATTTTAGCCTGAATCTTCGATGATGTATCCATATAGATATGTTTGATAATTAATGATACATGCATATTACATTTCGTCACTACCTCTGAGAAAAAAATTTAATGGTTTATAAACCATAATATATTGAATCTCTAAGGAAAATAAAAGATTGCCTTCTTTTGCAGAACGAAAAAAAAGTAGCGAATATTGGAGCAAAAGAAAGTTACCAGTTTTTAACAACAGGTAAAACCATCTTTCTTTAAAGTATTATATTTCAATTATGTAAAGTATTGTAATGATGAATGATTTTATCTTAATGATTTTAATGATTTCACTTTATTAGCTCTATCTGAAAATTGAACACGTCTTTTCTATTCATCAATTAAAAGAGAAAAGATCTTTTACAGCTGTTTTTTTTTTACGTTACAGGTTACTGATGAAGGATTTTACCAATTGGAGATATATGCAAACTATTGTATCATTGTAATGTGTACTACATTGTAATAAATAATAAATAAACGAGCGAATTATCATTACTTGTAATAATAATTATTCCTACTTGTATTATCCTTTTTCACATATATCGTATCGATAAATTAGCTACGGTAGCTTTTATAACTGTGATTAAGTTTATTCCATTAAAATTCATGAGAAAATATTTCGAGGGTGTCGATACGTGTGCCCAGGAAGGATTCGAAAGCGAAGCCGCAAAGACCAATAAATTGCATCGAGATTATTAATTAGGTAAAAAGATGCCGCGTTCCCATTTTCTTTCAACCGTATAAGCGGATCACAAAGTGATATGAATCCATGGTGCCATAGTTGTTTCACTATGTGTAATTCGATTCTATTAATCATAAAAATGAACGAATACTATTACCATATTAAATGCAGCGATTACAAAGAATTATCATCTACGAACCGGATAACGATATAGGTATCCGTGAGAACGATCGAAGCGTGTTGCAAACGCGTATAACACACACGAATAATTATCGATAAATTTGCCGAATAAATTCACTTCACGTCTACCAAAAAGCTACCTCTCTCTAAAACGACAAACAAGAAGCTGGGAGAAAAAAAATTGCTGAATTCTAGAAAACGATAGTGAGAAACTTGGTGAGACCATTCGGATTTTTTTTAACACCGAAGAACACACATTAAAATAAAGCCAGACGTCACTTCGTTAAATTAGTTCCTCTTCAGACACAAAAGAATGTTGAAAGTATAAAATGTCTAAAACTGTCACCGTTCACTTTTTCAAATTTGAAAACCAGTCTTTGTGTCTATGCACCGTCGAAAGACCGGATTAAACAAAACACGAGAAATTTGTTGCTTCGATCTAACTTCTCGGAATAGTATTCCCGATGTTGATCAGATTCGAGTTGTACAAAAAGAAAAGGTAAAAACGCATCGAATAAAAAACTACTCATTGAAAATCCAGACGTATTCAGAACACCAGTGGAATCGGTATGCAAACGGTCGTCGACTGATTTGCCAGACTCTGGCGAGACGCATGCGTAGAACATTAGGCAATGACCGGGTTTTCCCCTGAAATTTAGATTCAAAGCACCAAGGGCATGCCCTTCGATCGTGACAAGCGTTTGATTTTTTCATTCGATTTTTCACAATATCCACAGCGAGAAATACATTGAAAATAGTACCACTAAAATAAGAAAAATGTTTCTTTCAAATATTATAACCCTATTCCTATATCCAGAGACTCTCTTCTCTACGTCTGACGTCGAGTGCGTTCTATTCCCGAGCTCAAGCGAAAACAATGTTTAATACACATGTGACCAACGATGAATTCCGTAAAAATTCCATTGCCGGTTTTCCTCCTAAAACACAGGAGGCCTGTTTTTCTTGTGTTCCAGAGAGATCTGGTTGAAAAATATTTTTCCTTAAATCTTGTGCAAATATGCCATCATTTTTTCTCTCTTTTTCCACGCACACTTCGCCGGGAATCGTTTTTCAGAGTAAGGATCGCACGTAAAATGGCGTATGTTTGTTGAAACGATACGGTTTGTTATTACGTTTGTTCAAGTTCATAGAACTCGTTAGGAATTGTATCGTGGTGCACAAGGCAACGATATTACGTCGTATGTAGTAAAACACTTTCGTCCGTATTTGGCCGATTGCCAAGGTCCCTTGTTTCACCCGCGTGCCGTGCATCGGAGGTTGTACAAGGGGACTGCTTTGGGAATACGTGAACGAGATTCCTTAGCAGACCTCGTCGTCTCCGACAACACACGTACAAGCGAGTTACGTATGCGACTTCGTAAACAATAGGACGTGTAACAACCCCATGCAACATCCACCGGCTCACGCACACATCGGCTACCGCACACGCATGACACGCGTGTGTCCTCGTGCATTGATCAATCGGCGGATGACGCGCATAGGACGATCTTGCCGCTGGGTATATAAGGTATCCACCAAAAAGCAAGAGCATCACTCAGTTCCAGTTTATCCAACGAGTTCATCTCTAAAGATTCGCTAAGTCTATCAACCATGAAGTCATTCGTTGTAAGTACCATACACAGTGTACAGCAGCTTCTTTCTTATACCGATATTATCGCTAATTTCACCATTTTCTTTTTCTGTAAGATCACTGTAATCTGTTGTCGACAAATTGTCTAATAACAGGAAGAATTTTATCACATTGCTACCTTTGCACGAAATTATAACTGCACTCCTCCTTTTGCCAGGATAACGAGTGGTACTTACCTGTAATCTTGTGTCGGTCAATGTCGTAGATACACGCCAGATGAAAATTTCATGCAGCTCGCAGTGAAACTCGATAATTCGTGTAGTTCAATTAGGATTATAGAGATAAAGATAACGATCAGATACTGTTCGTTAGAAGTTGCAAGAAACGTACACACGGAGGTCCTCCATTCACCTGCCAACCACTGCTCGATCTTATTCAATTGAACGAACCAACCATCATTGAAAACCATCATTAATCTACTTTTCAGGCTATCCTTCTCTTGGCTCTCTTCGCTGTAGCTCTCGCCATAGAGACGCCGGTCGAGCCCGAAAATATCAAACCGTTGCTGAACCCCGGTGCTATCCCAGACGGACCAAGAGACAAAAGAGGAATATTGCTCAGCAGCTATTCTGCACCACTTGCGTACACACCACTCGCCTACAGTGCTAGTTATGGCGTGCCTTATGCCTACCGCAGCTATCCGTACTACTACAGCTCGTACTACTATTAAGCCAAGGAAACTGGATGCTACGTCGAGGAACTCTGGAGATTAAGACTAAGGACACGATCATGGCAACCGCGACGATTCTCAATCGAGACGTTTACGTTTCTTTAGTTTAAGCGAACACGGAACACGCCCAATAGCTGAAATTTCATCCGATTATCAACAGTACTGATTTCGTCACCGCTCTATTTTTTCAACGTACACACGTTCTCCTACCGCGTGTATTGATACCAACGTTTCCATTGTATCTTACCATGTTAAATACAGAAAATAATGAAAGATAAATATGTCTCTGGAATTTCTCTACACCTCTAGCTCCCAATCTTCGATCCTGTCTGAATAAGACGTATACCTATTTGCATACGATAGGAAAGAAGCACGGGACAGTCGATAAAGGACCGATGGATTCGAATTCCATCCACACTCGATGTTTGCGTTTACAATACAATGTATCCCGTATGTTTCATAGTTGCTGTCCCATTAGAAATGCATCTGCAGTCTCATCTCTAATACGAGAACGCATCTCGAAGTTGTGTAGACCAACGCGTTGTAGACTTCCTGTTGCGAATGTAGCGAGACCAGAAACAGAAGCAAGTGATGTCATCGGTGTGCAGTTTGGCGTTGCAATTTTCAGCGGCACAATTTAGGCTAGCATGAGGTCATTGTGATAGAAGTTGACGTCGTTATCCTGCGTCCGTCCATTAGCTGCAAACGTGTGCATGAATAAAGAACGCGACGCATTATGTCAGATACGATGAAAATGACGAATTCTAAGGACTAGTCGCGAAATTTGTAGAAACTTACAGGCGACCGACCGATCGGCCGGTGTTATCTAACGGAGATGAAAGAGTTACGTGGCGCAACCAGCAGTGACATTTCGAACGTTTCAAGAAATTCGAGCACGCCTCGTTTACGCGTAATCACGAATTATACAACATCGACGCTCGTTTATCACTATAAGTGAACACTTATTCGGTATTCCCCGGGTCTTGATGACTTTAAGTACTTTCACTGGGGAGTATGGACGTGATGGGAATGATAGTATTCCCCGTAACTGGGGAATGTCTTTTAGGGGGCCGACGGAAGTTAGAGCGACGCACGTTTCCTCCGTCTTATATTTCTCAGCGGCGAAATATAATTGACGCGAGGAAATGAAATAGAAGATACACGCCGAGGGTACGATTGTTTCCTCCGTATCAAAGATCTCGAGCTACGACGGAAGCAATGTGTCTTTCTCGCCTGTGGAATCAACGTCGTCGCTTAACTCGAACTTTCATAAGACTCGCGATCTGTTCGAATCAAGGTGGATTTTTGGACGATCGATGATTTTTCGTTTTTTTTTTTCGTAAAACGTCGCATACGCGCACAGTTGTTGCCTAACAATACGTGTTTCGTGTGAAAAGTGTCGAATCATTGAAATATTCGACAGGTCGAATCGAGAGGACGATACTCTACATCGATATGTGTAACATCACCAATCCGTAACAGCATTGCCTAAGTGTGATCGATGAAAGCCAACAAGAAAGTCTATTGTAATTCGTGGATGGTCGCGACCCGACTGTATTTATACATGTGCAGGTATGGCCGTGGTCTTAGTCGGCGCGAGCCTGTCCATCCTTGAAGAAATTAGTTTTTTCAGCGCAGCTGCTCTGATTACATGTCGAGGGAACCTGCAGGAAGCGTTACACTAGCGTAGGAAACGTCTGATTAGTGCAGCGATCAGTGCAATAGGATTACAAACATGAAGGTCCTTCTGGTAAGAATATTGCGATATTTTTGCTTTAAGTCGAATTCGAATCAGTGGTTTCACTTTTACGACATAAAATAACAGACGGTTTGACAGTGTGTGTACGAAGATCGACGAGTGAAAGATTGGTCCATTTCTATTTTAGATAACGTGTCTACTGGTTGCGAGCTTATTATTGTCTGTTAGAGCTGATACAGAGAAGACGGACGAGAAGCCAGAGATTACAAAGTTAGAGTTAGTGGATCTTGGCGAAGGAGAAAGCGACGTGGATGCCAAAGATTCGGAAGTTCAAAGAAAGAGAGATTCGGGCTACTCCTACAAGAGACCGAGCAGCTTTGCGCCAGCCTCGAGAGCTCGTTTCCAAGTCGGCCAATCCGGCCACAGAGGACGTATCGTTAATAGACATCCGGCGCAAATAAATAGACCTGTCACCAAATACGGACCGCCCGGTTATCAGAATTCATCCCCGACGAGACCTGCCTCTCATGGTCAACAACACCGAGATAAGCTGCAATTTCACGGTCATTTCGGTCAACAATATCCGGCGAACTTTGATGGCCGCCCCGGTGGTTTGCTCGAACAGGAAGTTCCGAGTCCAATTAGACAAGTCGACTTTGTCCAACCGAATCCAATATCCACTCAGAACAACGAACCCTTCGCGACTCACTCGGCCAATTATTTACCGCCGCAGAATCAAAAGTTGCCTGGTTACACGGCGCCGAACAATTTTTCTCCAGCTCAAGCGGTGCAGGAAGTTCCACCACAGGTGAACAACAACGAAGGGCAGTCGGCGAATTTCCAGAGTCAGAACATCCTTCAATCTCAGGGCCAGATATCGGACGCGGCTCTTTTCCTCACGCAAAACGCCCAAGCTATTCAACAGTTGTACGGTGCCCCTTTGAACGAGCAAGACTTTGCTCCAAATAACGACCAGTTATTCTTAGGTCAGAACGATCAAGTTCAAAGGCCCAGTGGCCAGTTTGAAAATTTCGAAAGCAGTTCCCAGAGCCCACAGGGCTTTCTAGGTTCCCTGCCGTCTTACGCATCCGGAACCCTAACCGCCCAAGAGACCCTGGAACAGATACAGTCCCTCGAAAAGGACAGATTGATTGTTCAATTGCAGCGAGCGCTCGCGACCCAGACACAGGCCCAAAACGCGGACGTAGCTGGAAGGTACGCTCAAAATCAGCCGAGCTTCGTTCAGAGTCAAGATCTTCTGGCTTCCCTCGGACAGCGAATGAAGATTCACGGTTTAAATACACAACCGAGTACCGTAAATTTCGGCTCCGGCAATACAGCTTTCAATCAATCACCTTTTTTGCCAGGAACAACGATCAGTCCGGGGTTTCCGTTTAACTATGGAGTATCGACCACCGTTCAACCCCCAACGACATCCACGACAGGAACGACTACAACGGCGGGAACAACGACAACGTCGACAACGACAACCGTGCAACCGCCTCAAGCTGCTAAAGGCGATGGAACCAACCAGTTCGCTTCAACCCTACCTACCACAACTTTGTCACCGTCGAACACTCCAGGTGTTCCTGTTTACGGTGGATTCGTCCCTACCCTAATCGCTGGTACAACCTTCCTATCCAACGTTCCAAATTACGGGACCACTTTCTTCGCTCCAGGACCCATCGCACCTGTCCAACCGTCAGGATCCTCTCCTACGCACTTTGGACTACCTATTCCTACCAATGCTCAAGGCCAGAAACCCAGTGTCTCTGTTACCACACCGTCTTCGATCCCGTCGACGACTCTTTCTGTTGCCGGTAGACCAACCGCTCCTTCGTCTCCGCCAATTCATACGCTTCCTCTGCATCCAGTCGCGACTCCTCTCCATCCAGTGGTGACGCCTCTTCATCCAGTGACACCGTTGCAATCGGTCCTCCCCGCGACGCCGACACACGTGCACTCTGTACAGGCAACATCGACGTCGACTCATCCGGCGTACGGGTTGCAGACGCCGGTGATCAATCCCTCGCTTTTATACAAACCCATCAAACCGGTCTATCCGTTCTACTATTACCCGAACGTCGCGTATCAGCTGCACAAGCCCGCGTTACCGACTTATCCGTGGAGCTACGCGCCTGCCTATGCACAGGCGAAACCGACCCAAATATGGAAATGACGGTGATCCCGTTCTTCGCGGGTGAATCGTAACTCACTTCCCCCGTATTGAGACTGACTGTTTACCCACGCGGAAAAGAGAACCCGAGAGATTGAAGAAGAAAGTGGCTTACCACCGCGAAATCGAACCGGGATGACACGGTTTTACGTACGCGAGACCACGCGTCATGTTCTATCGTTCGTGTCATCCTGGTTTGTCCTTTAATATTTATTGCTCCGGCGCTAGAGTACCGAGAAAAATTTCGTATGCTGTTTGTGGAAGTCCGAGGAGAGCTGTAACGTGTATATAAGATTTCAGCTGGCGCGGTTGTGAAATTCTCATCTGTTCGAATCTACGATGTATTCCCTTTCTTGGCAAGCTTGATCGATTATTGTTATTGGGTAAAAGGGTTTTCGTTTTCATAGAAGCTGGGATAAACGGGAGACTATGCTCAAACTTTTTCTCCTTCGTATTTAATATACAGGTTAGTAAAGATTTCATACGTGTTTATTCGCCTTTCGTGTATCGGTTTACGATATGTTTGCCTATGTTCGTCAACTGCGTACGATTCATCAATCGAACGTTGTACATATATGTCAGTGTTATTTATTATGTCGAATAAATATTTTTTTTACCGTCTAAAAATCGAAGAAACTTCATTTCTATTGTCTGCTCGTGAAACGAAACCTAATGGACCATTACAGCGCAGAATTACACGAGTGTCTCTCCTCACAGCCAGAGGAAGAAAGAGAGAGAGAGAGAGAGAGAAAAGTATATCTATATACATGTATTGTATATAATAATTCGCAGGCGGCGTGCTCGTTTCGCAGCTGAAGAAAGTACACCCTAGAAAACCGACTGTCTCCATTTCCAGCCCGTAAACCTATACCAAGCCACTCTCACCGAAGACAGTTAATGGGCAGCGGTGCGATCTGTCGTGGTTCGATCGTGACCTCGAAAGTCGTTCGATAATTCTAACCACGGTCAACTTGGCCAGATTATTCGGATAATCCTAAGCATACATAATACGACTGAAGTCAGCAGGTGTACACACACACACCTTCGAGCAACGCGATTTCGTAACCTTTAACTGAAGCGTTTCCGTCTGAGAGAACAGACGCACCCAGACGTCGCATCCTTAATCGATTCACGGACTCGCGGGAACATGAAAGATACAGCACGTGCTCTATTAGCATTTCTGTTGTGTCTGGTACTGAGAGTGAGATAGCACGGAGCGATAACACCAGTTTCTTCCGTCCATAATGCAAATATCGCTTTCGTAACGCAGATTATATCATAATTGATTAGAATTGCTGGCAGAAATACAGGGGGAGAGGGAGAGTCATTATCGAGAAGGTTCGTAAAAACGACAGGATAATGTAAGGCGAGGGATTGTTTTACGGTTAACGGCTAGGCTGGCTTGTGCAAGTATCAACGCGATAAGAGAGTGGTATCACGGAAAAGGCAACGATGCTACCTACCCATGGTGGCGCAATGCAGCAACACAAAGCTTGCTACCGTACGAATCGTGTGACCGAGTTACCTGTGCCGTGATTATACCGCTAAACGTGCTAGATTTCTACAAATACCGAACAGGTGTAATTACCGACGAGGCGGATGGTCATTTCATTTTCCGTAAGCTGCGGTCTTCTGTACAGGGGAGAAAAGGGGCCACGCAGTTACAAAGAAACCTGGCTCTGCCGGGAGACGATACCGCTTCAACGTCGATTCACACACAGGAAACCCGCCGTCAACTCACTTTCCGCGACTGACCCGAATCTCATTCTACTTTTCGTTTTAGTGCACTCTGTGCACTTTTACCGTTTCACCCATCCGACCCGTCCACCCGACATTTCTTCCACCGCGTTTGTAGAAAAAGAAAGAAAGAGAAAAAAAAAAATGAAGCACCGTTTATACCTCGAGAAATCTAGAAACTAGATAAGCGGAAAATAAACGAGTCCAATTTCTTGTCATTATTCCGTCAGTTAATAGACGAGAGTGATGGTAATTAATGGTAACAGATTCGGTAGATTTTCTCTCCTGTACGAGAGAAGAAAAAGGAAAAAAATAGATCAATCTTTCTATTTTATTCACACAGCTAATGGATTGAAGTTACACGTTTTGTTTTCTTTTTCCTTTTTTTTTTTTCTTGTTTCTCGTGATATTAAAGATTCCTCGTCGCGATAGCGCGTTACACAATGCAACGTGTAACGCGTACATATTATATACAGGGTGGTCCACGCAACGTGTGCACGGTTATAACTTCCAAAATGTGTGTTGCACGAAAGAATGTTATATAGAAAAGTTACATGGTTTAAAAGGGTACACTATGTAGTGCGTTAATTTTTTTTTATAGGTGGAGGCGTTTCGGAGATTTGAAGGTCCACTTTGTTTTTTTAAACAGAATACTATATTTTTTATACCAAAATATGGTAGAGTATCGAATTTTAAGTAAAAAAGTATTGACCGTTATTAGCCCTAAACCTAATAGCTAACGAGTAATTTCACTTTATTACTTGAAAATTTTCTTCACGTAATATCAAGTTGGAGATTCAACCTTATATCACATTCTTTCGTGCAACGCATATTTTGGAAGTTATAACGGTGCACACGTTGCGTGGACCACCCTGTATAACGCGGCGAACAGAAACTTTAACTATCAGTCTCTCGATCACGCTTATTTTCTATGCAAATGATCTAGCTCCCGTAAACTTGTTTTAATACAGGGGGGGAAAAGTGTCGGTGTTCTTTGTCTTCGGAGCGACAGTTCGCACCAGAGAAGAATGGAAGTTTAAAAACCACTTACAATTACTCGGGACGGTACTTTTACCCATTTATCTTCGCGAAGCGCGAACAATATTTATCACACCTTTCGATCAGTCGATTCTGCATAGTTCATTTAGCGACACGTACCCAACTTCGTCTTAAGATACCGTTCCTCTCGCAATAATCATCGTACATAAAAAGTGCCGGCCAATTTCAATTACTTCGATCGTAATTTACGCTGAAACGGACAGAAAATTGATTTTGCAGTAATACCGCTACAGTTCATAACGATCGAATGATTTTACACCGAAAAAAATATTTTCCACTTTTGCAGATGTTCGGTAAAATATCCTAAAAATTTCAGACATATCTGTTCGATTGTTTCTTTAAAACAAATTCCCGGAAATCAGCGTTTTTCGAGCGAGTTACACGAGCCTCCCACGAGTTTCTAATCTCTGTTAAAAATTATGGAAACAATGCGAATTACTATTGGTTTGAAGGCAAAAATTAGCTGTTTGATTCTTCGTGTACTTCTCGTCGGGAGAAATTAGCCGTTTACAAAACAGTTTACTGGTGTAACGGTACAGAGATAACCGGTACGAAAAACTTCAAACGCGTTTTTCTCGAAACGTATTGTCTGAACTGGCTGACGTGATATCTCAAGTTCTAGTTGACTAATTGACTCCAAACTTTGCATGCACGTTCAGTAGATGTGCCGTTATCGTTCGAACCACGGAAACCGAACAATTCCTATTTCTTCCTATTTTTATACCCCATGAAACACAAAAGAATGTGGAAGAAATCGACATTCAAACCTCAAAGTGCCTCAAAATTTTATAAATTTTCAATATTCGTTTTATCCTACTTCCGACTATAACCACGTTTCCTCTAATCAAGAATCTTTCCGTCTTCTTCGTTTTCGGACAAGTAGGATGACCGGAATCGTGTTAGCCAGTAGGACACTTTTTTTAACGGGACCAGTTTAAAAACCACTTACAATTACTCGGGACGGTACTTTTACCCATTTATCTTCGCGAAGCGCGAACAATATTTATCACACCTTTCGATCAGTCGATTCTGCATAGTTCATTTAGCGACACGTACCCAACTTCGTCTTAAGATACCGTTCCTCTCGCAATAATCATCGTACATAAAAAGTGCCGGCCAATTTCAATTACTTCGATCGTAATTTACGCTGAAACGGACAGAAAATTGATTTTGCAGTAATACCGCTACAGTTCATAACGATCGAATGATTTTACACCGAAAAAAATATTTTCCACTTTTGCAGATGTTCGGTAAAATATCCTAAAAATTTCAGACATATCTGTTCGATTGTTTCTTTAAAACAAATTCCCGGAAATCAGCGTTTTTCGAGCGAGTTACACGAGCCTCCCACGAGTTTCTAATCTCTGTTAAAAATTATGGAAACAATGCGAATTACTATTGGTTTGAAGGCAAAAATTAGCTGTTTGATTCTTCGTGTACTTCTCGTCGGGAGAAATTAGCCGTTTACAAAACAGTTTACTGGTGTAACGGTACAGAGATAACCGGTACGAAAAACTTCAAACGCGTTTTTCTCGAAACGTATTGTCTGAACAGGCTGACGTGATATCTCAAGTTCTAGTTGACTAATTGACTCCAAACTTTGCATGCACGTTCAGTAGATGTGCCGTTATCGTTCGAACCACGGAAACCGAACAATTCCTATTTCTTCCTATTTTTATACCCCATGAAACACAAAAGAATGTGGAAGAAATCGACATTCAAACCTCAAAGTGCCTCAAAATTTTATAAATTTTCAATATTCGTTTTATCCTACTTCCGACTATAACCACGTTTCCTCTAATCAAGAATCTTTCCGTCTTCTTCGTTTTCGGACAAGTAGGATGACCGGAATCGTGTTAGCCAGTAGGACACTTTTTTTAACGGGACCGTACTGAGTAACTTGTAATTCACTCAATTTCGATTACTTTCACTTAAAAAAAATCCTGAATATTCCTAAAACGTGAATAAGTATGTGTGCCGAAAATCGATGCTAAAAAGTCTTACGGTTTTCTCGTAAAAAAATCACAAAGAGGACCTAAAATACGACGTTCTAGACTAGAATACCTGCGCGTACTGTCGATCTTATCTCGATCTGATCGAACAGAGAGGCTCGATGAGGAAAAAATTCAACCCTTCCGGTAGCCCGTGAATTCTGTTGGAGGAACCAGCTCGAGGGACAATGACTTCGTACGACCCACGAGTGAAAGTAAAACGAAATCAATCGGTGTTTTCAGCTCTTACCGTACGTTGGACAGACGGGAGGCGTCGGCCCTCCGCTTCGCATTTTACAGTTCGCCACTGTCCTCTTTCCGTTACCTTTTTTTTTTAATAACTACGCCGCTATTAATAATTCCTCCCCGTTCACGGGACGTGATTACGCCGGCGGGAAAAATAAGAGCACAAGTGCGCCTAAATCTTCGTAAGTTTTTTTTTTGCCGGCTGGTCGCACATTTCACTTTCCAACATCGAAACTGCTTTCAGTGGCTTCTGAAGCCAGAGTGAACCACACCTTCACTGCTCCTTTCATATCGTCGCACATTACAATCTCATCGACACAAATAAGAAAAATACTGCTCCCTACGCCGGCGATGTTGAAGAATGCTTCAACGAACAGAAATTCTACGAGACTTCGTTACCACTCTCTTGTATAACACGTTGATTAAGGATTTCAGAACGAATTTAACGCGGTTGCGCCGATGCAATCTGTTATTAGTTTCGGTAATAATTACCCAGATTTACGTTATCACGAAAGAAAGTGGCGCCCAAGTTTAGCGGATTATGCATGCAGTTTCTGCAGAGTAATAATATTCCGCTGCGTTCGATGAGAAATGTCGCCTTCGAGTTATTCGAAAGCTTGGTCGTTCCGATTAAAATTGAGCAATTTGTAGGAGAGAAAAAAAGAATTAGCGAGTTACTTTTTCACGCGGTGCTCTTTAATTCGTCCTCTCTGAACGTTGGCTAATTATTATATCTGCCAGAGGAGAAGTTTCAGTTACCACGATCCGGGTGGCGGTCGTTTCTGCTAGGTGAGCCATCCGAGTGCTAATTAACGAGAACCGTGAAATATCTCGGAGTATATGCGAGCTTTCGTAAAAATGAACTCAGGCTAATTTTTCAAATTTCAAAACGAAGGAGAGAGGCAATTTGCCAGCGCAAGAAGACGTAGGTACAGGTATCACGTTTCGACGGAACATTTGTTCGATTCCCTAAGGGATGGGGAGCTGCTAATTAGCTTTGTATCTGCCGCCATCAACGTAATCTCGAGGAGGAAACCGTTTTCTTCCTTCGTTTCGTAAGAGGGCAACGACTTTGTTCGAAAGGAAACGGCTTTTTACGCCCGTCAGGAACAATGCACGATAAATATCGATTTAGGCACTTTTACCAAGCGGGACATTCTCATTTGCAAACTTCACATCTCACGATAGATTAAACTACGATCATCACGTGAAGCACGTCCGTTGCGAATGTGATGGTGCACTAGTACCACCGCGTGGAGACTCACCTTCACCTAGACCTTTCTTTCACCGTGCAAGAGGGGATTTGTATATAAAAGGTCTCTTCTGAGTAGCAATGGCATCAGAAACCACAATTTCACTTGCATACTCGCTTGTCACTTGACCACGAGAAGTAGCGTACAGGACAGTCCTGCCTTAAGAGCAACATGCGATCATTTGTAAGTATATCACAGATAGTTATACTAGATTATGTTTCTTATTTATTCGTATTGAAGATTTTCCTCTCTCTTCTTACTGCTACGTAGAGAGTCAACGGAATAAAGTGATAAAGTAATTGACAAATTAACGGTTTACAGATGTTACTGGCTCTAGTAGCCTTGACAGTTTCCAGCGTATACTCGAGAGAAACAAAGGGAGATAAACGACCATTGAGACCGCCACCTAAAGGCAAGCGTGGTATATCCGACTATTCCGGAGGCTACTCATCCGGAGGATCATCCTACAGTTCTCCCCTTCATTCGAGTCTAAGCTCTGGATACAGCGGAGGATCCCTAGGAGGATCCTTGGGAGGATCCTTAGGAGGATATTCCCTGGGACATTCAGCGGGTATTCAAAGTCTCGGAGGTGGTTCCTTGGGACATGGCTCCTTGGGAGGATACTCCCTAGGATCTGGAGGACTCGGTCTCGGCTCTGGATTTGGCCACAATTTGGCCAGTCTTCAAGGACTCTCTCTAGGTGGACACTCTCTCGGCCAATCTTCCTACTCTGGCGCAAGTCTGGGTTCTCTTGGCGGAGGAGCGAGCGTTGGATTGTTCACTCCATCGTCGAAGAATGGACCGGTAACATTTGGCAGTCAGGGAGGCGGCAGTTCTGGCTCTAGCAGCTATTCTACTCCAGCGTACGCAACAGGAGTTCACGGTCTGTCGTCTTACTCGGGAGGTGGAGCATCCAGCATCAGCCTTCCAGCGATGTTAGGATCAGGACACAGTTCCTCGTACGGTTTGCCTGCAGCTTCTTTGGGTTCGTTAGGTAGTTCCTCAGGCCACAGCCTTCCACTCCAATCCATCTCCTCCGGTTCGTCCTATCCTGCGAGCGGAGGTCTGGTAATCGACACAGGATCCCTTGGAAAAGGTTCTTCCTCCGGCTACAGCCTCCCTGTTTCTTCCTCTCACAGAGGACCTTCCATTAGTCTGTCCAGTTCAAGCGGCGGTTCTAGCAGCTACTCTCTCCCAATCTCCTCAGGATCTCACGGGATATCTAGCCTGTCCTCCAACTCTGGCGGATCAGCTAGCTACAGCCTACCAGTCTCTTCTGGGTCGTCTGGTGGCCACATAGGCCTGTCCAGTGGATCCTCCGACAGTTCTAGCTATTCTCTTCCTATTTCCTCCGGCTCCTACTCCTCTGGATCCTCTAATTACATCCCGTCTTCTTCCGACGGGTCATCCTACGCCTCTGCCGATAGTTCTAGTTACTCGAGTCCCTCCTCCAGCTATTCCAGTCCCATTTCGAGCTATTCCAGTCCGAGTTCAAGTTACTCTGGATCCTCCAGCGGATATTCCTCAAGCTACCCCGCTCCTTCCACGTCGTACGGCACTCCCGTGGAGTCCCATGGTTCCTACTCGAATCTGAGCCCCAGGTACGTTGCGTATCCCGCTTCGAAAAGTTACGACAGCTCCGGCAACAAATACGACACGATCTCTTACTCCAGTCCTAGTGGGAAATATTAAGTTCTCGCTGTTTATATCTCCTAGCGGTCTGACGAGAGACGTAGTCTTTAATTAGCTAGCAATCGTGGACCACGATTTAGGTCGTGAACTGTACAACCGTAAATGTCGAATCCGAGGATCGAAAAAGGATACCGTGCTAATTTATACTCCACGTTTTTAGCATAATTATTATGTATTTAAGGCGCCGCTGCGTATTTATGATATAATATATTACTGTCATTTGCTTCGTGTACCATTCTCCACATCGACATTGTGATGCTTGTGTCTCATAGTTTCTTCTTCTTTTTATACGCATTGTTTTAGAATAAAGCGATTCTGTTTTTTTTTTATACAACCACTTGACCATCATCTCAGACTCCCTGACGTATCGTATAGAAATCTCAGACTCGTCGGAGATGTAGCGTGTAATGTATTCGTGAGCTTTCACTGTGCGTCTAGTTCATCGTAGCCTGGACTCGTTCAGATTGAAAACGACATCTTCGGAAATTAAACGACGCATACCCGCCAGATACACTAGCCTTGTTCCATAAAATGAACGTGCCTCGCGTGACGAAAAACAGTCTATTTCTAGCCGGCTACAAAACCTAATTACCACTTTTCCTCCGATGCTCCTCGATAACGTTATTTTTATTATTCGCTGCTTTTTTATTCGTTCACCTTTCACCGTGAAAGTTATCGGCCCGGTAAAAGTAAACGAAAATGGTAGTCACGCGCATACATACATACGTAGAATAAAGATGACGACGAATAAAAGAGAGAGAGAGAGAGAGAGAGAGAGAAAAGAAGATCACTTTTACCTCCAAGGCCGGCTCCAGTGAAATGGGCGGATTCCTTTCTAAACTTTTGTTCCTTTTGGGAAAGTGTCCGGCTCGTATGCCCCGCATGTCAGTCGGTGGCTCCTCCGCAGACCGGTTTAACATGATTCATCATGGAACCGTTCTTTCCTCCGCTGCCCTTATTCCTATGACGCTAACGGTACTCGCGCCACTATTTTTATCTAGCTGAAGCTGCTCTTTCAGAATTTGTCGCCTCGTTGTACATACAATAAATACAACAAATCACACGCTTCTCTAGAAAGACGAGTTAAGATCAGTCGAGTAGAATCGCTATAAGTGAATCAGCGTGCTTCGGAGAAAATATGAAGCGAGGTCAGGCTGAAAGTTCAGTCTAATCCGGTGCTTTTCAAATGAGAGAGGACGTGCGTCGAAGTTTCCGAGCTCGGCTAAAGAGCTGTAGCGGAGCAGCAACCGGAGGACGCGGCGGAGCTTGAAAGCTCCGTTTACTCGTCAAGCTTTCCAACGGGCGCAAATATTTGCAATTGTACACAGACCGCTCGAACGAAAATTTCTCTAAAGATACCTCGATGAATTTATCTCGCTATATTTATTTATTCAGCGTTTATTATTCGCCGTCAAACATTCACGGCTCTGCCTGGCGTCCACAGAGAGAGCTTTCGGCCCGATCCGCGGCACGAAACAACACCTACATAGAAGAAAGTGCACGAATGCAAGGCTGACCCACTTCTCGAGCGATCGCACGTGCGCATGCACGGATAAACACGCATCTTCGTCGTCGGGATCGACGTCGACGAGGGGAGCTGGGGCAAATTCGAGACGCGGCGGTTCGTTCAGTTCGTTCGTATTATGTAGAAAAGCCGCACTTCGCTGTGTTTTCCGACTGGTTCTTCCAGCGGCACACATACCCGCGCTTCACTCTCGTGCCCCCGACGTGCCTCGAGCGAAAACAGGGAAAATTCAGCTCTTACTCTTCGTCGTGCCGTTCTCCTCAACGATCACGATATCGATATCGCGATTAATACGATTTCTTACTTGAATCTCGCGCGAAAATATCAAACACGAGATATTCGATTAACCGTAAATCTTTCTTCCCGTTCAATTTGCCGAGACATTTTATACGTCTTCTTCTTTTCTACATGTCACCTCCGGCCATTTCTATCGGACAGTTTTGCCGAAGCCTCGGTAAAAATTCGTGACAAAACGAACGTGGCGGCTCCGGTGAAAGTGAAACAATTCGGACAGGGACGACGGATAGGAATGGACCGCGCGCGAAACGTCTCGATGTGACCGGAACTGCTAGGAAGATCCTCTCGCGGGCATCGTGCAACTACTTCCGTGACTATGTTACTCGGAACAAATTGCTCCTACCTTTTCCTATCTCGAGCTCGAACAAAAGGGGTGTCCGATCGATTGTCATTTGCATGATCGCGTGTAGAACGAAACAGAGTGTTCTATTTGCCGTAGCCACGAAGAAGATCCACCGTGCAAGTAATTATTCAGCACAGGTCGGAGCTTATCTCGCGCAGCTCTGAACCGAGAGCTTTCACGCCTCACCTCTGTCGGACGTTGTCTTTATTTCCTCCGTCCTGACATCGAACAGGCACGTGACAAGGTGGATCTATCTCCCACCACTTTCCACCTTTAGACCAGTTTATCGATAGTGGCGTGCTCCGAGAGACCGAGAACCGTTTTACTAGGCGGTTTCACTGAACCGGCCGGGTACACCAGTCGCATCCAGATCTACATATAAGAGCAGAGAAATGTTAAACTAGTTTTCGCGATTTTTCAACCGGCCGGGTATAAAGGAGAAATTCAATGTCGGCCGATACATCATTAGACGTCGCGCTGTGGTGTCGGTTCGATCTACTTGATCACGGGTAACGACAGTGAACGCCGGGTGAACACGAACTACGAATGAGATAGCGCGGAGAAACGCTGATCAGAGAGACGTTCGTAATTATCGACAGGGGCGAGAGTGACGGCTGATTGATATGGACCTGTTGGTTCGTACACGTTTTCTTTTCATTTCTTCTGTTTTCTTCTTCTTTTCTTCGCTGATAAGCAAAGCAATTGATAGAGTTGTCCGGCGAGCCAACGGCGACGATGAAAGTTAAACGCTCTCTGCAAACGTATATCTCTATTCGAAAATGAAACTTCCAAGATTTCATACACTACCGGCCAAAAGTTTGGAATCACTGTGCATTGCATGTTACACAAAAATTCTGAGAAAAGAGTCAGCAACTTTAAGAATTTTTTAACGAATTTTGTATCATTCAAATCAATCGATATCAAGTCTATGAAAAATTGGTGGCAGATTCGGTACTGATGAAAATTGGGAGGTGATTCCAAACTTTTGGCCGGTAGTGTGTATTATCTTTAACACGTTCTTCTTCGAATTTCAGCTATTGTTTGTACTATCGTCGACGATCTTGGTGCAGGGATATGGGAAGAGTAACGATCCGAACGACGAACCCTTCCTGCCGATATACCCAGTCTACCCTTACAGTCCGAAATTAATTAAAAGGGGAGCAGACAAGGAGACTAGCACGCAATTGTCTCCGGAATTGTACGCGCCTAAAGTCGACGCCAAGGAATCGTACAGCGCGAGCTATGCCAGTAATTACCCTCGAGATCCTTACTACCCCAGTTACAACCCATATCCTAAGGTTTCTTCTCCGTCAGGATACGCTTACTACAGCAGCATTCCGTATTCCTACCCGACAGCACCGTACAACGCGTACAATTCGTACTCGACTCCTTACACGGTGCCTCCACCTTCTTACACAGCCGTACCGTACTCCTCGTCTTATCCCAATTATTACTATCAGCATGCTTATCATTATCCCAATTATTACAACCAGCCTCTGTTCCCTCCGCCGCCGCTACCTCCAGCCATGGCAGATTATCCCGGCGATTCCGCTTCCGAGTCAGAAGCCAGCGATAAGAGCAAAGAGAAGGAGCCTGCCGGAGGGAAGAAGTACAGGGAGAACGAACTTCATCAATACGTCGAAGGAGCGAACTACATCTCTAGAAATCCGACAGATCTCGACGGACAGTCGAGCTCTTACAAAAGTAGCGCTCTTCAGAAACAGCTGGAACAAATGAACGAGCTCCAGCTGAAGAATGTACCCATTCCTTTGCCTAAGACGACCTACAGAGTCATTAGCGTTGCCGGACAACCGGTAGGTCCTGATTATCCTCTACCGCCGCCTTACGAGAAAGCTCAGCACGTCGAAGAGATGATGAACAACGCCTGGGCTAAGATATTCGTGCAGAATGTACAACAAAGTCTCGAGGCGAACAGAAATCCCGGAGCTACGCACCAAAACGAGCGTAGCAAGGATGGCCAACGTTTCGTTTCCGTACCAAACATGATAGCCAAGGCTGGCCTTGCCTACATCGTCAATCCTAACCTTCTTGGGAAACTGAACGTTGGCCAGGCTAACAGTCCGCTCATTCAGGCGCCTACGACTCAGTCGAAGAGCATAAAGTATCCACCGCTGAACCCGGGAGTTTATACAGCGATCGAGAAGCCTGGGAAGGATCAGACTGATTCGAACGACTACGGAAACTATGAGAACTCGCCTTCCCAGAGTAGCCAGGATTACGACGGTTCCTTGAATCCTGCTGATAAGCAGCAACAGCAGCAGCAGAATTACGAGAACGATTTGGGCCAGAATTTTGTCACCGTGCAGCCGTCTCGAGGATACAATTATCAGTACAAGAACTATAGTCCTCCTCAGACGTTCATGCAGTATAAAAGTACAATGGACGAGACGAATTTCGGAACGAAGACGAGGGAAGGGTAATCGGCAAGTTCTCTGACGTAGTATTATGAATTGTTTGTTGTTGTTTTATATTTGTACACGCAGATTTTGTTTTTATATTTTTATTTTTGCAACGATTGTCGCCGGTGTGCTGTCCAGATCAATTACTATGTATATCTCGGCAAATCACACGGTGCAGGACCTCTTAGAGTAAGATACTCCACTTATCCTCGATGATCCTCATTAATAATACACTTCTCGTTTTCTTTGATCCTCCGTCTACCTGTCACCTATCCACAGCGATACTTTTATTTACGAGCCCTGTGTGTCATACGTATGCAAATTTTGTATTAATTTTTACACTGATAGTATTAAACGATTGTTGTTGTTTTCTCCGGGACCTATGTTTTTCCCCCTTTTCCCCAAATCTCCGACGACAATTTTCTCGAAATCTCGCGTTAGCAATTCGAGAAATCAGCGACGAACTATAAAACTAGGGTCGACGATCCGTTTGAGATGGCCGCGGAAAGGCAGGAGATCCGCGAATGAAAGGAAGCGATCCGTATCTCGACAATGTCCGGTCGATCGTTTGGGCGCGGTAATGGAAAGGGGAAGTGAGGCCGCGCTTCACAGCATCGGTGGCAGATGAGAGAGAAAGAGAGAGAAAAAGGGAGAGAGTGAGAGAGTGACGTGTTCCAGCCAGTTTTGCTTTATTTTTCGCATTCCCGGCGGCGAGTGTGTGCCGGTGGTCGAAAATAAAATCGGACGAACCAAGCCTCTTACTTTCTCGCGCTTGATCCCACCGATCCTTAACCGTGTACACGGTGACCTGAAATCCTCCTGCCATTGCTTCTCCGTTCGCAGCTCTACCCGTGTTTACGGCAATATCGTTAAAGTTCACGAGACTTTGATCATTCACAAACTCTAAGTAATCCTTCCTGTCCAAAGGAGAGGAGAGCGATCTAAAATTCTGTTTCTCGAATTTTATCAGCATCCTGTATGTGTCATCTTACAAATCTGAAATTCACGCGACAACTGATTTCTCTCCGTTTATTTATTATACATTCACTTTCCTTCACCTTTGACTATCTTAATGGCAATTTAGAAAACTCTGATTCAGACCTAAAAATCTGCGCGTAAAAGGACGCGTAGGAGGTCGAATTTATGCGTGGTACGTTCCCATTGATTTCCAAACGACCGGCAAAGCGAACAACCGTGAAAGTGGACTTTTGCTCGTTCTCATCTACCATCGTTCAAACCAGCTCTGACCAAATCGTGATCCCGAAATCGTGAAGCTTGTCAGAAGCGCTGTTTTCTTTCGCTGTGCCCCGCGGAACGTGTGGACGAGAAAGTTCCCTTGACTTAATTGAGGATAATTCGACTGGAGGCAGAGCGGGGCGTCGGTCATCGTTTATTGGATCATTCTCCCCTGCTTCCACACCCAGAATGCGGATAGAAAGTGTTCTTTTTTCCTCCGATTCGACGAGCGTGTGTACTCTCCGGCTGGAAAGAAATGGTTCGCGGAAACCCGAGTCTCGATTGCACAGGTAGAAGGGATCGACAAAGAGATTGATGAGCTACCCAGAGATCTCCTTTCCTTCCGTTAGCTGCAAGCAAATTTTTCAAAAGTAAACCCGCACCTTTTTCCATCAGAAGTTCCCCTTTCATGCGTAGATGCACTTTGCGTCGCCTTCCTGTAAAGTTTCACTCGCGACGTACAAGGAAAAAACGCTCTGCCTCGCGGGCAAAGCATTCAGAAAATATACACACAGATATTTATTTTCATCGCCTTATTCTTCCGGTGGGAATCACTTGGAATTTTTCGTTAAGAGCATGGTAAACGCCCCGTAGAGATATCCCCGGTCTCGTAACAATGCACGAGACAAAAGGCCCCAGCCTTGGTCGTCGTTTATTTCAACGATCATTAAGTGTATCTCTTCGTGAATACAGCCCACCTCGCTTCAATTGTTCGAGCAAAGTATCCATCGCGAGGAGAGACCTCGCCCCTCTCGCGGTTTCATCCTTCGCGAACAATAAACAGACTATTATATACCTTCGTTCGTATATTTTCGTCGAAAGATTTCCCCTGTCGATGCACCGCCACCCTGGTTATTTCACGCGACGAATATTCTTCGTGGGGATAAGATGGAAGTCGAAAGGTACCTATTATACTCGCAGCGATGTCCCCGTGGAAGTTGTCGAATGCAGAGGCCAGGAACGAATTCACTTCATTAGCAGACTAATGAACCGATTAACCGGCGAAGTAATTAGTAGAACTTCGTGTGCTGGAAAACTAGGAATGATTCGAAGGCAGATTACTCGGTGTACGTGCCACCGGTATTCCCATTGACAATGCGTTTGCCATTGATCAGTCCGGATGGAAATTAGAAAGACCCTATTTAATCGGCAGTTTCCGAAAGCGAACGGGCTACATGCATATGTATATCCATGTTTCCATCCACTTTTCTCGATACGTTCTCACGAAACGAACCTGCAACCGATGCTTGTTTTTTTCTTCGATTAAACTGCCAGTGGTAATTACCGCGGCTGCTATCGTGAGAAATGCATATCACTGGGACGAGGAACTGGAAATTAGAAAACTGCTATCTTGCAGAGCGGAAGGGAAGTGATTGTTGAATGAAAGCATCGAACTTTTTTCGTGTTCGGGTATTAGCAGCGGTTCGAGTAAGACAGTATGCATGCAGGAGGAATCAAGGTAACATTGCTGCAATGTTAAACAAGCTACCACAGGATGGAGCAAAAGTTAAGTGTTATTTTTCTTCTCTTTTTACAGAGGAATTAATTTTCAGAATTCCGAGCACCGATGCCTTTGGTAGATTACGTATGTGTGCTGGCGTGATGTGACTCACAGCATTTACGTTATTCTTACATGGTCGTTAATTTTTTATTTCATCGTGTACAGAACCCGTTTGTTTAAATTTCTTCACTTGTTCACGTATCCTCTCGTCTACTTCAATTCTTTCCTTCGATCCGCCAGGTATCTACTGTATCATATACATAGAATATCTCATTCTCGGTTCTTCTTCGTGTTTTAAAAAATGTCGTTTGGTAATAATTGGCGATGTGATCTTCCTAACACAGAGTACTTCATAATTTTTGCAATCTTAGACATCTGTTCAGTTGGCAAAGTGTTAAAGGCCTGCGAAAAGAAAAACATAAATTAAATCACTTTAGTTAAAATAGCGTTCGATCTCTGTTCCACCCTGTATTATCCTATCGCGATATTACGGTTTCTACGCGCCATATTGTACGGCTTTTAAACACGAAAGGGATAATACGCGTGAAATCCCTTCACTCGTACCCCCGAAACGAGCAGATATTTCTCGGCACGTGGTCCAGGAGGGCCATTGAACACGCTATGAACCAGGAATGAAGTGGATGCACCAATGGTAGGGATAAAGGCTATATAAGAGAAGGTGAGTCTACTTTGATTTTGTAGTACAGCTAGGATCTTTGCGTCGCGACCGTAACCCTCTATAATTAAGGCAACAATGGTAAGCGTGTATTCTGGACACTTAACCCCTTAACATATGACAACCCGTCAGACTCGTGGCAGAAATTCTGGCGAGGATGCGAGACAAATAGTTGTATTAGTAAGAAAAATTCATCGCAATCCTAATTTTCGTTGGAATTTGCAATACTGAGGATTGCTAAATGTAATTGATCTGTGACAGATTAATTTTTGCTACCTGATACTAAAACAGAAAATGGCTGACACTTAGATGCACAGTCGGAAAAGAAATCATAGGTTAAGGGGTTAACGATAATTGCAAAACGAAAAGAGGAAAAGCAAACGATATCCTCCCCTTTTCAACACGAGTGTTCACTCGTGTTTTTTTGGGAAAATCGAATCGCGTAACGAAAGTTTCTTTAGAACGCGAACGCGAGGTTCTGTATATCGAGAATTTGTCTTTTTCCTTCGTGGATGACTTGCTTCGTCCGTGTTCTCAAAATCAATGCAAGTTTCTTACGGTGACGTTGCACCAAAATTTATGTGAGAACCAGGAAGAGAAACTTTTACTTTTGCATCGACGATGCGATACACTTGCCTCACGAGAGTGGTCCTCCCCGGGAGGAGGACCGGATCCATGCGCAGGAGTATAAAAGAGTGGTCCATGTCGGATGTTTGACCCAGAACTTCGCGAACAGTGAAAGTGTACCTTGATGCAAGTTCATTTTTTCCCAATAATCGCAATGGTTAAGGAGCATATACGAGCATATACGATCGAACTTAAATAACGTCTAACACTTGATGCAATTCACCTGATATCAGATATCGTTTCGTTCAATTACCAACCATCGAATTACGTTATTTAAGCGATATTGTATTTAAAAGGCGTTGACAAATTGTAAATTTAACTCTTATTTCGTAGAAACTCTGTTTGATACTGGGTCTGTTGTACATTGGAGTAAACGGGGAGAAGAAGATTAACCTGGAAGATATAGAAAGAGATAATTTGAGGACAGATGTTATACCGAAAGAGCAGAAATATTTAACAAAGTCAGAGATTGGCCAACAGCAGTATCAGATACCTAATCAATACCATGGACCACCCAGTCCGCAGGTTACATACGTAACTCCTTCTTCTCCGGTGAAAAATGTAAAGTACACTTCACATCGATTAACCCTAGTGCGGTCTTCGGGTCTTTCTCACCCATCGCCTTTTTATTTTTTTTAATAACTCTTGCTGTTGTCAGGTTTATGTAACAGACATTGTCACACATTTGGTCTTTGGGTCTTTTTTGACCCAAAGTGTAAAGTCGATGGGAAGAACGCATTAGGGTTGAAGGAAGATGTTACAAATTATTCTAGATCATGTTACTATTGATATTTATTTAGATTTCGCCGGAAACCTACGTCCAGGCCAACAGATACACCACAAAGGAGCAAGATTATCCGCAGCAAAACAACGTAATGAACGAACAAGTATTACCGCCACGATATTACAACGAATACCAACAACAGCTGCCACTGCCTGCAAAAGAACCGGCGTCAAACTTGTACGGTCCTCAACAATTCTCATACCAACCGGAAGTGAACGTTGGCAATCAATTGCAGAGTGTTCAGCAAAAAACGATTACGGCAAAATATGGGAAAAATGTGAACAAAGGTATAGATAAATGGTATATAAATGTATAAAATTGTGAGAATTTCGCTTCCGTGGAATATATTTTATTTGAAATTTGCATTTATGCAGATACGGTGTACATCGACATTCCCATGATGCACCTCTTGACCTATTACCCAAATTTAGATGTAAATTCTGGCAAAAGCAGTGGATTACTGGTGCCTCAATTAACCCCACCGGGGGCTGAACACATATCTATCCCCCTCTACACTTCGGCGCTAAGTGAAAAGCCGACTTACCAACTTCAGTATGCTTCTAAACACAATAACCCACCTTTCACCTCCAATAAGGTCAGTAGTTGTTCGAATAATTGTTGTGTTTCGAAAAATTTATACGACGATCGTGTTTGAGTAATTGAAAAACAGAGAAAAATATAAGAGTGTTGGAATGATAAATATTTCAGATAACGAAGAGCTCGGCGTACACGACTCCCGTTATATCAAAGAAGTACACCGGTGCCCCGTTAGTGAGCGTGCCGCCTTACGTGCCATCAGACCAATCGCACGCCCAAGGAAGACAGTTTCTGTACACGCGAGCGTACGTCGCCCCGTCCCAGCCGCAATACGTCTCTCAGCTGGTCTACGCTCAGCCAACAACGGTTTACATGCATGCTACACCGGTCTACAACGACGTTTACGCTCGTGCACCTAGCTACGTACAGGACAACTCATTGCACGGCAACGTGAAATACGCTACTCAAGCTGAACAGCTGGATTCCGCGGCACCAGTCGCTGATGAGCTGCCAAATCAAGCCTCGGTGCAGCAAACAAGTCAGAGCGTCGCACAGAATTACGTGAAGGTTAGTGGGAAGGGGACTGATTAAATTTAAGGTTGATAGAAATTTCAAAGTCCCTTTAACGTAGTCTCTTTCAAGATTTAAAAATTAGGCAACTGAAAAAATAAAAAATTAGAGTCCCTTTACAAAAATTAAAATTTCTAAATTAGACGAGATGAAGATTAAAGG